AGACATAATGAATGATTCAAAAATATGCATAAGATTGATATTTCTGCCGATTTCACTTCGGAATGTTTTTACTACAGTCTTGCTTTGTAATTTCATGTAAATCATATTCTGACATGATGATCACTTCATCTGCAACTCACATGACCCAATGATTCACTATTCATTCATCTGAATTAAACGAGCCCTACCACATCACTGACGAACGAAACATCACATCACATTTCATCATCACATCACATAGCACACTACATCCCCAGTGATCGATACAAACAACCACAAAACATACTCAAACACACGTCTCACTTAATTCATTCCATCAATACTCATTCTAACACATAAACATTGACCGCCAAAGCGGGTGGTCCCCGATAATCATCCGCGATATCACTGAAATGTGCCAAATTTGCATTTTCAGGTTACAATCATGTAACCGATGTGATTTCAGGCAGATATATTTGATACATGAACCTGATCACTAAACCACCATAAAGTTGGTACTTTGATCGAATCTGAAAGAGAATGGAGCAATGAAATTTGGCACTATTTCTCGCTGAAATTAAAACGGTCCCTCACATGAGAACCGTTGAGAGGCGGAGCTTAAAGTACGTTCGTCCCTCGTAGTCCTCCGCGCAAAAGGCGCCAATATCTTCAGACCTGTGAGTGAGAGTACTTTCGTGGGATTCCCGGGGAATTGGAGGTGGCTGTTTTGAACGTAGTCACCTGAAATACAACTTTTGTAAAAATTGCCCCTTTTCCCCTACATTCAGCATTGCAGTGAGACTTTCGAACTTTGCACTATTTCGCGTATTTTTTTTAATACGGTCCCTCTAAGCATGGCGAGTTTTCAGTAACGTTGCGTGCTGTTGTTAAAGGCATTAGATTGAAAGCTCATTGCGAAGTTCGGTCTGCGAGGTTTAGACGTTCTATTTGTTGAGTCTTCGGAGTGTTATTCAATTCGCTAACAATGTCAGACAATAAAGAGGAGCTCGTACAACGTGCAAAGCTTGCCGAACAGGTAGTTGGGATACTATTTATTTCATTTTTCGTTGATTTTTGACTGTTATTAATCATTGAAATTGTTTTGCCGGTTTCTTAAAAGGAGTTCATCATCCTTGGCTGAATAAGTTTCCTAGCTGATATTGGTTATGGGGTTTGTCAAGCTTGATACGATAATGTTCCATAAACGGAAGTCTAGAATATGATGTAACGATGATGCTCCCGTATTGTTTTCTTGGAAGTCCCGCTCGTTTGAGGTATGTTTGAAGTTACTAGGTCAACCCGCGTTCATATACTCATGAAGTGCAAAAAATTTCGGGTCGCTTTCATGATTGATTTACATGGAGGGAGTGAGACGTTTTACTGGGATTTCTTTGGGGTATTTGTGATGTCAGGCTGGAACTTCGTTCGTCATCTTTAATTCGGCTTCTCGCTGATATGCCTGAATCTGATCGTTTCTGATATTTGCTGTCACTGGACCTGAGTGTTTCCGGTGCTCTCTGAGTTCGCGCCAGGTTCTTATGACTCATCGTTTTAGGCTGAGCGCTATGATGATATGGCGCAGTCGATGAAGAAGGTCACCGAACTTGGTGCCGAACTTTCCAATGAAGAGCGCAACCTCCTCTCTGTTGCTTACAAGGTTGGTTTCATCGTTTTTGTATTTACGAAAATACTATAGTTGAGCCATGAGCGGTACTGTTGAGTGGCATGACTGAGGTCTTTTGTGGATTGGATGCAGACTCGAATGAAAGAGATTGGTTTGCAGAACGTCGTTGGAGCACGTCGATCTTCGTGGCGTGTCATCTCGTCGATTGAACAAAAAACCGAGGGTTCGGAGAAGAAACAACAAATGGCGAAGGAGTACAGAGAGAAAGTCGAGAAAGAGCTCAGAGACATCTGTCAAGATGTTCTGGTGGGTAGTTGTTTTTTTGATTAATTATTAAAGCATGCTAGTTAGTGCTGCCCTGCCCAGCCATGTGTTTGTTACAGGCCTTGTGCATTGCACTGAATTTTTTGTTGTTTATTTGCGACGAGTTAAACAATCGCTAATGTGCAGCTGTAACTGTCTAGCCTCTCTTCTGCACTGATTAAGAATTGCCATTGTCTGACCGGAAGGGTTCTTGGCGCAAATCTTTAATGTTGAAAGTGGGTTTGGAAAATCATTGATGAGTCGTTTTAGAATCTACTCGATAAATACCTGATCCCGAAGGCCGGCAACCCTGAATCAAAGGTGTTCTACTTGAAGATGAAGGGAGATTATTACCGTTATTTGGCCGAAGTCGCCAGCGGTGATGACCGAAATGGTAATCTATTTCTTGTATAACGTCTGATAAATGAAGTGAAAAATGGAAAAAGCTAGAGTAGTTGAAGTATATGAGAACAATCTTTTTCGTGATTACTGACCAAATTGCGTAGCAATAGTCATGGTGAGCAGGTGTGTGTGGCTTGTCATCCGGGGAATTTTGGAGCTAAATTCAATGCTTCTAGCCGATTTACACTTAATTATTGTATTTTTGATAAGACGAGAATTATTTGTCTAGAATGTTGTGATGATCGGTTGGATGTGAAAGTTAGGTAGGTTGCATTTTTTGCGAGGCAGGTGATAGGTAATGTAAAGTAGTTAGTGGATGGTGTATTTAGTGGTAGTGGAGAAGTCGCAGCAGTCGTACCAAGAAGCATTCGACATCGCGAAGGATAAGATGCAGCCCACACACCCGATCCGACTCGGGTTGGCGCTCAACTTCTCGGTGTTCTACTACGAGATCCTCAACGCACCCGACAAGGCATGCCAACTTGCAAAACAGGTGTGCTTGAACTCTATTGTCTCTGTTCGCAATTTCAGCGGTCGCCACACACGGTCAGAACGCGTACTCGGAGGCATTTGACATTGCAAAAGCGCGGCTTGCAGCCACCGACCCAGAGCGTCTGGGTCTTGCACTTAATTACAGTGTCTTCTTCTACGAGATCTCGTCAAGTCCTGATCGAGCATGTCAACTTGCAAAGCAGGTGCTGCATATCATCCTGAATAATCGTGGAGTGTCTGCTGCAAGATTGTTATCGTTTTCATTGTGTTCATTCTGATCATGAAACAATATCGGATAAGCTAAACGGCTTGAGAATTAAAGTTGTGTGACGGTTGCAGGCGTTCGATGATGCAATTGCTGAATTGGATACCCTTAACGAGGACTCGTATAAGGATAGTACCTTGATCATGCAGTTGTTGCGAGACAACCTTACCCTGTGGACGTCCGATTCAGGCGCTGAAGACCAAGAAGGCGGTGAGCAGACCGGTGAGACGGGCGGCAATTGATCATCTCGTGATTCATTTGTGTTGTTCGCCAATGATTGCTGATCTTTTTGCTGCTTCTCGTTGTCGGGATGCAACGTACCTCATCGCCACCCTTCATTAGTAACTTGACTTAGTTTTGTGCCGGACCTATGCTGTGCTGTTGATTGTTCGTTAGAGGTTGTCAATTGCTGGAAAAAGTAATCATCATTAATAGTGATTTATTAATTAATTTGAACTGGTGAGGTATGTTATTATCCCGGTGTGCGTTTTGATCTGAATACGACAATATGCTCCTATTCGTATGTTTTTGAAGTGTTTTAATTATTATTATTATTACCGTCAATCAGTCCCATTTTAATTTAATAACAGTAATTATTATCATTGTCGAGATTGTCTGCGATTCGTAGCTATGTTAAAGAGTTGTTGCACAACGTTTCGTATGGCATCTCGTCGTCATATTACAATAAGATTATGTTGTATTGTCGACTTTTAATTTACTTTTTAAGTGTTTCCCAAATTTTACGGTTGGCTCATTTTGATGTGAAGAAGTTGGTCTCTATATTATTGTTTTCAGAGTACATAAATTCTTGATTGTGCTATTGAAGTGTATGAGGAAGGTTATGTTATTGTTGTGACACGCAGATTAACGCATATACTAAACGATTTTGTGTTAGTGATTCGGTCAGTTGTTACGGCATCGTACAAGCACTACATTTT